ATAGTATATTTTTTTGTAATAATAACATATTTTAAAGTGGATTTTGCATGTACAAGATATTATTGGTTATAAATTGTGAATTAAAATAATGTCTAATATAATGGATACGAATGAGGTTATAATAGAAAAGATAATAGCAAATGGAGGTACAATTGATGAATTTAAGGAACATACGTCAAAAATTGAAGAAAACAACGATGTACCAAGCACTATTGAAAACTTTTCATTGCTATGCAAGGAAAATATACAAAATAATGTTGATAAAGTAAGTCAAATTACAGATGATTGTGAAGTAATTTTAAGTGATGAGAATGTTGAAACTAAAGAAAATTGCAATAAAAAAGATAATACCAATCATTTGTTATTTGAAAAGTTAAAACAGAAAGATGATGTTCATATTGTGCATGAAGAAAATGTGGTTTCAGCAGTTCAAAGTAAGGATATAGAATATTTACTTATTATAAATAAAATTAAACCTATTAGTTTTTATTAAAAATAATTAAATCATATAATTCTTGTTTAATAGAAAATGATAAAATGTCTTCTCTCGTTAGTATTGCTGTAGAATATGGTAATTCTGATTCAGAAACAGAAGATAATTCTAATCAAAATGAATGTGACAATAAACAAAGTAAACAGTTGCAAGGAGTACATATGCAAACTTATAGACAAAATATAGAAGCATCAGTAAGTGAAGAAAGTGATAGTGAAGATGATTTTACTAGTAGCAGTGACTCTTCAATAATATCTCAGCCAAATGAATCAGACAGTGATGATAGTTCAAATAAGTAAGTTGTTTATTTTCATAAATTTTCATATATCTTTATATGACATGTTTATTTTTATAAAATTTCATATGTTTACAATTTTAAAGCAATTTCTTGCACTTATAGAAGAAGCAAAGGAAATAAATTAAGGGAGCAAAAGAATAATGAAATAAAAAATGAATTAGATGATTTACCTCCTATTGAAGATTTAAAAATTAGTGTACCTGAGGTACTATGTGATCCATTAGGCGAGGTATTTATTAATTCTGAATTAATACTTAGGTAATATGATACATAGAATAATGTAATGCAATAAATAATAATTTAAGGTTGCATGGATGGTTGAACAATTAGTTGTTGTGAAACCAAAATCTGGAAAACCAACATTAAATTTGGATACAATTTTATTTGTTGAAAAAGGACAAAGAGCTTTAGGTAAAATATTTGATGTTTTTGGGCAAGTAAGTGAACCTCACTATTGTGTGCGATTTAACAGCTCTGAACACATAAAACAGTATGATGTTAAAGTAGGAATGACTGTGTATTATTGTCCAAATACAGAATATACCTCTTTAGTATTTCTGCATGAATTAATGAAGTAAGTGAATGTGTAAGCAATGACTATGTTATTTTCAAGTTCTATTTTAATCTATAGTCAGCTCTATGTGCTAAATGATGTATTATTGTTATAGGATTAAGGGGATTGATGCAACAGCAGACGAACCTCCTGAATTTTCAGATGATGAGGAAGAACGAGCTTATTACGAAAAACTAAAAGCAAAACAAGCAAATAATATCAATGAAATGGATATTCCGTCAAAACGAAAACGTACTTCAAGTAAGTTTTTTTTATATAATATTTATGTTTAGTATCAAATTTATATAATAGTTATACTTTTAGAACCTACCACCGGTTGGCAATCAAATCATCCATGGAATAGAACTACAAAGAAATATAGGAAAGGATATTATCCACGGTCAGATAGACAATTTTGTTCTATGCAAACAGAAAATCAAACGCAAAATATATGGTCACATCCATATCAAAACAATAGTGAACAATATGGACCTGGGGCATACTCAATGCAAGCTGTGCAATATATGAATCATAATGTTAATAGTGTTAAACCAAACTTCTATGGTCCACACAATTATTACAATGAAGATAGTATGGCAACATCTTCAAATTCTAGAGGTTCTTTTAATACATGTCCAAGAGTTTCTCCAGGGTATTTACCGTTTTACAATTCACCTACAAATTTAAGATTTCAAAACGCAAATATGTCGTGGCAACCACACATGCCGCAAGTTCCTGTGCGAATGAAAATACCATGGTTACCCTTACCACCACCCCCTCCCCCACCAACAACTTTATCATCAGATCCTCCACCATCAACTTCATCATCAGATCCTCCACCATCAACTTCATCATCAGGATCTCCACCACCAACTTAAACATCAATAATGTGATAATTTTTTTGATGAAAGTACATATATAAAAATACATTTATTTATATCTTTGGATGTATTTTTATTTGTATCAATATTATTTTAAAAGTACAA